TCTGGGAGGGATGCTGTTGGACAGATCACGTGTGTTGTGATTCATTGACGGCCATACCTTCCTCTGTTCAAGACAATGATGACTGGTAGATAATAAGTTATTAGCGGTACTGAATTTTAATTTTAGAAAGCGCAAATCTGCTTATGAATTGTAAAAATTAGTATGCCCACTAAAGCGCAAACGAAATATTTAGGTCCTCAATTAGCGTATTTGCGCTTTAGTGGGCTGGTGCCCACCACTACATACGTATAAACATAATTTATTGACTTCCTGCACCTTCCTGTCTCTTTTTATGAATATTAAAAAATGGCAATCTTTTCCTGGCAGGTTACGGTTGTTTTGACCAAGCCAGATTGTTACACATCCTTCCAATGTGTGGCGTTCAAACTGGCTAGCACGTTCCTACCTCGAGTTACGAATAATATTATTAATTACATCCATATAGCAATCTTTTTCCATACGGGTTAGGGCTGTTTTGACTGACCCAGATCAAGTATGTCTGTTTTAACCATGCAAAAGTAGTAAAATCTGTCACAAAAAGACCTCCAATGTGTCCAATTCTGGAAGACCAATGACCCTCACCAGCCGTCTCATTTCACACCCAGCCTCATCCCATCAGCATCCAGCAGTCTGAGGATAAAAATGTCCTCTTCAATCACTCTGGCAGCTCGCCACCTGAACATCAACCTACCAACTGACATCTTCTGTTTCAAATATCTATCTTCATGCCATTATACTCTCAACTATGTCGTACTGTTTACCTGTTTGGTCTCTTACAACAAATGAAATCTTAGAACCCATAGTTAGGCTCTACAACAGGGCATACAAAATTCATGAAAAACTTCCTGGTTGGACTCATCACTGTACAGTTCTTTCATTGTCTGATGCCTTGACTTTTCAGAATTATGTTTTGTATAGTGGTATTAATTTATATTTTCAGATCTTTCAAGGTGCGAATTATGGAACTCTGTGTGCATTGTTGCCCAAATCAAATTCTGGAAGTGGTCATTCAACTAGATCTGTTACAAAAGGACAACTGATATTATCAACTTTTAAAAACTGTTGCGGCCAGAGGTCTTTCTTCTATGTTTATACTAAAGCATGGAATGACATTCCTCAAAATATAAAGTCCATTTCAAAACTACAGCCCTTTAAAAAGAATCTTGTCTGCCATCTGCTGGACACTTTTTGTTGTGCTCATATTTAGATGTCCGATTTTGCAAATGCTGCCTTTTTGAAATTTAGTATGCTTGTTTGTCTTTGTGTTTATGGTGTATAATGATGTGATTGTGATGCTGTAATTCTGAGTGTTTATGTGCTGCAGAACAGGAACCTGCTGTAAAACAGCAATTATGCTGAGTCAGGCTTGATTTTTAATAGTCTTTTCCAGTTAAATAAATCAATCAAATCAAWTCACCTCCCCATCTCCATCTTTCATCGCCTCCAAGTGCATCCCTCTCCTTCCTTCCACCACCAGTGTCCAGGCCCCAGGGGGGAAGAAAACTCCTACCCCTTAACCTAAACAGCTCATCCGAGCTTTCAGCCTCACAGCGCTCTCATCCTCAACTGGGGTCTGAGCGCCAAAACTGTCATTCGTATCAATCTCATCGGTTTATGTCAATCAATGATCAATATAAATAATTCTAATTTCACTTTGTCTTCGTGTGAGTCTTTCCAGGTTGAAATGGCACAGTGCCTCTTTAACTTGTTTAAGGATTTCACATTTATCTGGTTCTGGACTTTAATTTCTGTGTACATGCAGTGTTTTTTAAGGATTAGTTTTTACAAATGAGTGCATGTATGTCAGGCCATGAATCACTGCTAGCTGCTACATCCATTTAATCTGCCTTCTCCAGTAAATCATCCCAGATTTGTTGCTAGTAGCCTGTTTACTGCCACAGACAGTAATCTGGGATCAACCTGATTCTTATAAGTGAAGAAATTATTTGTGTGTGCATTTTTATTTTTAGGAGCCGTTGTACAAAAAGCATTTCTGCATAAATTGTGCTCATGTTTTTCTTTGTCTTTTCTTTTTTTTGGGGGTGGGGTGGGGGGGTGGATAACGGGCCTCATGCAAGAACCGTTCGTACGCACAGATTTGTTCTGAAGTTGTGCGTACGAGTGATTTAGGAGAATTTGTGGCATTCACCAATATTTTCGTATTCTAAGATTTTTTTCAGATATGAAGAAAATTCAGGAGTGGTCCAGACCTGTCGTATATTTTACCAGCTGCTGTTATCCAGACAGATTTTCCTCCCTAATAACTTTAAATTTCATTAGTTTGAAGATATTTTGAGTTGAAAATAAATCACACTCCATAATTATGTTGACAATAGGCTATTCTGCTTGAATTAGAGTTATAATTTTAAATGTAAGTAGAGAATTTGCATTTCCTACGAAAATGCAAGGGTGAATGCCTTTTGCGCAAAACATAAGCTAAAAGCTAAAGGTAGCAGACTCAAGTTGAAAGTAGCACCCAGATGGTGTAATGGAAGTAAAAAACTAAAATTAGTAGGAAAAAACCCCATAAAAATCAGAGAAAGTGATTATTTCAAGTGCAATAGCTAAAACAGCCGAAGTTTTCAGTGAGACAGCTAAAGGTAGCAGACTYAAGTTGAAAGTAGCACCCAGATGGTGAAATGGAAGTAAAACATTAAAATTAGTAGGAAAACCCCCCATAAAAATCAGAGAAAGTGATAATTTCAAGTGCAATAGGTAAAACAGCCGAAGTTTTCAGTGAGACAGCTAAAGGTAGCAGACTGTAGTTGAAAGTAGCACCCAGATGGTGAAATGGAAGTAAAAAATTAGAAATAGTAGGAAAAAAACCCAATAAAAATCAGAAGAAGTGATAATTTCAAGTGTAATAGGTAAAACAGCCGAAGTTTTCAGTGAGACAGCTAAAGGTAGCAAACTGTAGTTGAAAGTAGCACCCAGATGGTGAAATGGAAGTCAAAAATTAAATTTAGTAGGAAAAAAACCCCATTAAAATAGGATAAAGTGATAATTTCAAGTGTAATAGGTAAAACAGCCGAAGTTTTCAGTGAGACAGCTGAAGGTAGCAAACTCTAGTTGAAAGTAGCACCCAGATGGTGAAATGGAAGTAAAAAATTAAATTTATTAGGAAAAAACCCCATTAAAATAGGATAAAGTGATAATTTCAAGTGCAATAGGTAAAACAGCCGAAGTTTTCAGTGAGACAGCTAAAGGTAGCAAACTCTAGTTGAAAGTAGCACCCAGATGGTGAAATGGAAGTAAAAAATTAAAATTAGTAGGGAAAAACCCCATTAAAATAGGATAAATTGATAATTTCAAGAGTAATAGGTAAAAAAGCCGAAGTTTTCAGTGAGACAGCTAAAGGTAGCAAACTCTAGTTGAAAGTAGCACCCAGATGGTGAAATGGAAGTTAAAAAATAAAATTAG